ATGTCAAGATGTGTTCTGATTTAGTTTATTTCCTCAAGTCACTAACAAAACTGTGCCTAGTTCTGTTTTCTATGCCTTTGATCTCGGTTATAGTGACTGATTGTATCTTGTTATCTTAACAGTATGTTTAAACCCTGAAGAATTCAGGGCATTTAAGCTTGTGAAGCGCACACAACTTAGCCATAATGTGGCGAAATTCAGATTTGAACTTCCAACGCCCACTTCTGTGTTGGGACTACCCATTGGACAACATATTAGTTGCAGGTTTGGTTGATTAAACTATACTCACATGCCAGTAGTTTGTTTGTTTTTGCTCTCACCATTTGGATTCTTACTTGATGCTCAATCAATCAGGGGCAAAGATAGTCAAGGTGAAGAGGTTGTTAAACCATACACACCAACTACTTTGGACTCGGACATTGGATATTTTGAGTTAGTTATAAAGGTAAAAGTTAGGTAGTGCGGTGATTTTGCTCTTGCCTTTTCCTATCTCATTTTGGTGATTTTGATGGTTTGTATTTTGTGAATGCACAGATGTATCCCCAAGGAAGGATGTCACATCATTTTCGGGAGATGCGTGAGGGTGATTATATGGAAGTGAAGGGACCCAAGGTAGATTTTTTGTTGCTTGTGAGATAATTCTGCAGTGATGCTTATTGGTCATCTAGTTTCTTTTTTGCCTTTCAGAAGGGTATTGTTGTTTCTTTACCCTTTTTTTTTTTTTTGGTTTCTTTACTTTGTTTCCCTTCTTCAACAATTCCAAGTTTGTTAAATCATTGAATTAATATCCGGCAACTTAGAAAGTGAACAGAAGATTAACTACTGAGAAAAAAGTAGGAATCTTGTGACTTGTGGTGTATCCAAGAAATATTCTGCTGTTCTGCATATGGCTTGACCATATTTCTTTTCAGATTTCACCTTTCTATGTATTATGTTTTTCTTCTTCCATATCTAAGATTAAAAAAGATAAAAAATTTAAGATTTAGGCGCAGGAGAAATCTTACATTGCTTAATGGGTTCTTGATCTTCCATTAAAAAGCTTTTATCTGTTGAGGACTCACACATTGATGTCCTTTCATAAATAGGGCCGCTTTAAGTACCAGCCCGGACAAGTTAGAGCATTTGGAATGCTTGCAGGAGGCTCTGGCATTACCCCAATGTTCCAGGTCTGTTTTCTTTCTGCTTTACTTAAACAACTCGTCTTTCCTTTTTTTTTTTTTTTTTTTTTTGTAAAAATGGTTGTTCTGGAATGAAATATTTCAGAGTTTGATGTTGGTATACTTCTTTTTGTTTCTATCCAGGTTGCTAGAGCTATTCTTGAAAATCCTAATGACGCGACAAAGGTGCACCTGATATATGCTAATGTTACTTCTGAAGATATTCTTTTGAAGGTACATATTCATCTCTTTTTTGTCATTCAATTAGTTCATACATTACACTTGAATGTTTGAACAAATTTTATGCATGCACTTGACTGCTCTCCTGTCACAGAATCGTAGAACTGTATTGAGTAGTAGGTTTATTGTTATCTCATTTTTATTTTTTTCCTGGAAGTTCCTTAGTTCTTATGCAATTCAGACATGGTACTTTATTTGTAAAATGTGTGCTTAGTTGAGTCCTCTGACCTCTGCTAATCTATGCTTTAGAGATATGAGAGAAATTGTCTGATTGTCAAAAACGCTTTCAGAGCTTTTTTTTTACTTGGGAAACATGAAACGAAAATACAATGATTTGCACTGAAGAATTAAAGCATTTGTGCTTTTTTTTGTCAAAAAAAATCCTACAATAAAGATAACAGCTTCCCTAAAGCATCCAAACTTCCTATCTGCCGACTTTTGTTGTATTAGTAAAAATTACAGTATGCTACTTCCCGGGTTTCCCCCTTCAGATCCAACTTCATCCTTTACTAATAATTTTAAGAAGCACACTCCCACAAATATGGCTCATGTCTAAGTAATCTGTAGTTATGTCAGATAACTTTCTACTGTTTAGAAGTATTGGACTCTTTCGCGCTTTCATAGTCTAATTTTTATTACTTTCTCACTTCTCCCAATTCATTATTGACCATCACCTGCATGTTGAATCTTCTATGGGATCCTTTTCTAAATGCAATATTCGCTTTTCTAATTATGTTGGCGAATGTTCTATTTTTAGGAACTATAGGGATACAGGGAGTAGACCTGTTTGTTTTTATCTAAATATTGAAGCATATTATCCAAATGATTTTATATTTGCGAAGTCGATCTTTGCCAAACAATAAATAACTTTCCTAACCTGTATGATAGTTGGCCTTTTAGCAGTTTGGGGAGGACATAGTTGAACATTATTTATACTGAAGTTGATGACTCCTTGAAGTGTTGATAATTGTGCCAATCAATATTTGTTTCTGGGGGAGGGTGGAGGTGACTTTCGTGGGCGTTTGGCTAATATCAAGTGTAGTATTTGTTTCTGTGGAAAGACATATCAGCTTGAGCGTATTGAATGTCCGCACCTGAATTTGTATTTATTGGTCTGCAGGAAGAGTTGGAGGGTCTTACTGCTAACTATCCTGACCGTTTCAAAGTTTATTACGTCTTGAATCAGGTCAGTTCTATAACTTTCTTTCTCGTTTGGAATATGATCTATTGACCTTTTTCTCCTTCTACGTATAATTATTTTGATTTTGTTTAATTCAGTTCTGTATATTATTCAATATTCTTTTCTCTGACGTGTCGTGTTTTGATAGCTAACTCAATACTGTAGTTTGTAGTAATATTTCAAAATGTCCAAAACTGTCAAATGATTTTCGTTTCATCTCATTACTGATTCATGTAAATTATAATGAAAAATTGATTTAAGTTGACTGGTTCGGAAACTGGCACTTCAATTCTCGACCTTTGGAGGCACGGAACTCCTTTTTTGTGGTGTAACGTGTTAAACTTGTTGTGTCCAATTGGTTCTCCACAACATTTTTGAATGCTGAATAAGCATACATCATGATCCAAACAAGATGGGGTTCAATGTCGATATGGCACTATGTCCCCCTCCCTTCCAAAAAATATCAAAAAGAGAAAAGTCTAGCTTATAGTGATGTGATTTCTTTTTTCTTTTGTCTTTCCAAGTTGCTCCTTATAACCGTACATTTCTCTTGCAAGTAGACGTGCTTTTACATCATATGCATTGAATCAAATCATTAAATAGTTCTCTTAATATATATGTGCAGCCTCCGGAAGAGTGGAGTGGTGGTGTTGGATTTGTCTCCAAGGAAATGATCCAGACTCATTGCCCTGCCCCAGCAGATGACATTAAGGTAATACATTGCATCTTTGAAGTTGCTAACAGCTATCGATTCCAATGTCACGAGTTTGTAGTAAGAGAATAGGTAGATTATCTTAGAAGTTCATGGAATATCAAGGGAAAGCAAAGTTTCGACTGATTTCATGTTAAACGTGCAGATACTGAGGTGTGGTCCACCACCGATGAACAAGGCAATGGCTGCTCATCTTGAAGCCCTTGGATATTCACCGGAGATGCAATTCCAATTCTAACTTCTTTTACTGTTTTCATTTTTATCCCTACATTAAAAGTAACCTCGATTACAAGGGGTTGCGTTTTATAGTCTGGGAAAAGACATTTTCCATTTTTGAGTGAAGAGATTCAAAACCATGCTTTCAAGTTTGAATAACATCTCATCCTTGAGTAGAAATGTCCTCTATGCTATTCTGGTCTTGGTTCAAAGTGCACTAACATCAAAGTAACAGTTGAGTTGCATGCAGTCTTGTTTTTCTCAAGTTGTTTTTTGTGCAAGATTGGAAACAAATCTCTCTACCTTCGGAAGGTAGGGGTAAGGTCTGTGTACACTCGACCCTACTTGTGGGATTACTAGATATGTTGTTTGGTGCAGAGAGAGGTGGAAGTGTAATTTGTAGTTTCAAAGAGCGTCAGCTCGAGTGAAGATATTTTGAGTTCGTTTGAACGTGAAAAAGTTACAGTGTATCTGCTATCTTCCACCAACATAAATAATCGCGTCAAACCAAAACTTGGACAGAGAATCCTCCAAACATATTTCTTTTGGTGTTTGCTTTTGCTAGGATTTGAACCTTGAAAATCATTGATTGTTAGGTCATATTTTTAAAAGTTGGTTAGAATATGAATCCTAATTTTGGTATAAAATATACCACAAATACTCACAAGGAAGTTGGGAGGGCCATTGAATCCTAATTACTTTTGAAAACAATCTTTCTATTTCTTTACGAATGGATGCACATAAAGTAAAGTTAGAGTTAAAATCATACTCTCTCATAGGGGTATGATAAATCAAATTGAAAACGTGATATTGATTTATCGTTTATTAATGTTTTGAAAGGGTTGTACGAAAAGAATACGACAAATAATTTGAGACGAAAAGACCAAATTAAGTCATTTGAAAAAAAAAAGCCTAAGGTACCAAGTTTTTGAGATCCATATTTTGAGATCTGTTTATGAACCTTACATTAACTATAACATTAATAACCGTTTAAATTACTAATTAAATTAACTCTTAACCAATAATTAACGTGAGCTTGAATTAAAAAAATACCTAAACCACATAGTACAAATTTACATTGCATGTCTGACTGTCTGTTGAACTTATGTTGAAAATTTAAAACTATAATATAAAAAAATTGTCAGCAAAAAAGACTGATGTGCCCGCTTCTTCAGAGATTCCAAATTCACCTATTTCTACGCTGTTTTGAGAATTTTTTTTACACCAAAAGACAAGAAATTGGAACGGTTCACAGAAATTTGACCCTTTTTTGTATTTGGTGTAACTGCTCTGTCCTCCACCTGTTTGTCTTTTTGTTTCCATTCTTTCAACCCTTTTTCCTCTCTTGTTGTATGAACATTTTTCTCTTTTTCTTCATATTGTAGTCAAGTTCACGTTGGTTCTGATCTGGGTTTTCAGTTTCTTGATCTGGAGTTGTGGTTTCTTGGGTTATTTCAGCTCCATTGACAAGTTTTCTTGCTTGTATAGCAAAAAAATCCATTCTTGATTTGGTTTTTCCTTGTTTTTACCAATCTTGTTTGGTTTTGAGAAAAGGGTCTGTCTTGGATTTAGATATTGGTTTGATAAAGGGGGCATTTGTTTCAAGTTTGTTTTGGATTTGTTTATTAGCTATGGTGTGATATATGCTGAGGTGAAGGATAAAGATATGATTTTTATGGCGTGAGCTAATGTAGGAGTTTGGTTTTGAGTTTTGTTTAGAATGAATGATTAATTGGTTTTTGGTTATTATCATGTGATTTGTTTAAAGATTTAATTTTTGCATTGTTTTGTCCACCATTTTGAGTATTGGAGCAACAATGGTAGCTTATAGGATGTGTTAGTTGTTGTTACTTTGTTGATATAGAGAATTGCAATGGCTGAGAGGAATGTACATTTGATGGGATTTTTCGGTCGAAAATCCTTGTTTAGTATGTTCTCAATTACTTCAATCTTGTTCATGTTATCTTTGTTATTTGTGATGCGTTCAACTGGACATCGTCACTTTTTTTACCTCAATGTGTTACCTAAGTCCAAGGTTCTTGCTTTGTCTGAAGAGGGTTATTCACAATCTAGTAGTCAAAGTGATTATGAGGTCTCGAATTCAAATCGAGTGGTGTCTAACAAAGGAACATTGGAAAAGTACAATGTGTTAAAGTGTAATCCTAGTAAACAAGTCCTTAAAGTTTTTATGTATGACTTGCCCCCGCAATTTCATTTTGAATTGTTGGGATGGAAGGCTGAGGGAAAGAGTGTCTGGCCAGATATTAGGAAACTGGTTCCTACTTATCCAGGAGGATTAAACGTGCAGCACAGTATAGAGTATTGGTTGACATTGGATCTTTTGTTGTCGGAATTTGATGACAATTTGAATGGTCGAAGTGCTAGTGCAATAAGAGTGCATAATTCAAGTGAAGCTGATGTGATATTTGTTCCTTTCTTTTCATCGGTTTGCTATAATCGGTTTTCAAAGGTTAAGCAAAAGAAGAAAACAAGTCCAAACACCTTGCTGCAGCAAAAATTGGTTGCCTTTTTGACAGCACAAGAGGAATGGAAAAGATCAGGGGGGAAAGACCATATAATTCTTGCACACCATCCAAATAGCCTTTTGGATGCAAGAATGAAGTTGTGGCCTGCAATGTTCATACTTTCAGACTTTGGAAGGTATCCTCCCACAGTAGCTAACGTCGAAAAAGATGTGATTGCACCTTACAAACATGTAATCAGGAACTATGAGAATGACACTTCTGATTTTGATAGTCGACCAACGTTGCTCTACTTCCAGGGAGCTATATACAGAAAAGATGTAAGTCATTTCTGTTCATGTAGTCTTCCGTTAACTATATCTCTCCGATTTAAGTGGACTAAGAAATAAAATTACTTGTAGATGTTTTTCTGAATTTCAGATTATGCGTTTGTGTTAGTGCACAATATCATATGCTTGTTAATAGAAACTATAGGAAACTGTTGACTCTCAAGTAATTTCATCTGTGATATGTTGTGTATTTATTATTTCGAGGGGAGAGGAGTTGGAGTTGGGTGCTAAATTGGATGATGTGAAGCAAAATAACTCGTTAGGAACATAGCAAGGCGATATGTCACCGTATGAACAGCATAACCTTTTCAGGTGAGAATTTGAAGACTCGTATTAGGACTTAGCATCTCGGACCTGCCTAAGCTTTGTAGGAGGTACAAGAATTAATATGGTTAGTACAATACAATAGGTAGTACTTCCCCATCCATGTCCATTTTGTTGAATAGTAAAATATTACGAGTAGCTATCACTTAACAAACTTAGCAGAATCATTAGACAGATTACAGTAATTTGGCGTGACACTGCATAAAAGGGCAACTGATAGCTTATTTAGTGCAGAGTTTGTGGAGGCATGATCACTTAAGTGGCAGCCTGCAATTTTATATTCTCCTTTCTTTTCCCCTTCGTTCTGGTCTTTAGAAGGTCAATGAGAAGGACATAAGCAACACGATTGCAGACAAACTGAAATTGGATTGCTAAGTCATCAGGATCAAGCCTCGTGTTTAGATATCGCTATTCTTTTTTTCATTTAGTTGTGGACTGTGGCCTGTATGCTACTTATCAAAATAAAGCAAAACAGAAAAGTTAGAACTTTTTGCATACATATATTCTTCCATCTGGATTAGATTAGTTGAACGTTGCCCTGAATTTCATGAGGCGAAGTTTTGATTCTTTTAATTGCCAAGATACCAGATTAACATTGTGATGCATAGTGTGTGAGATCTTCAATGATTTCACACTAAATCCATGCCGAAGGAACTACAATTTTGAACTTTAGCAAGATTGTCACAATGTACCCTATTTCGTTACTCTTTTACTTTTCCTGTATCTAGTTCTTTCATTTCATTTCATTTCATTTTCTCGTTTCCAAGTCTTGCGTGTTTTTAATCTTCAGGGTGGATCTATTCGACAAGAGTTATTCTATATGCTGAAAGATGAGAAAGATGTTCATTTCTCCTTTGGAAGTATACTAAAAGGCGGAGTAAAACAAGCAACAGACGGTATGCACTCTTCCAAATTCTGTCTCAACATTGCAGGTGACACTCCCTCATCAAACCGTCTCTTTGATGCTATTGCATCTCACTGTGTACCAGTCATCATTAGTGACGAAATAGAGCTTCCCTACGAAGATGTTCTTGACTATTCAGAGTTCTGCATATTCGTCCGTTCATCAGATGCTATCAAACCACATTTCCTCATAAACTTCATCAGGAGCATCACGAAACAAGAGTGGACTACAATGTGGGAAAGGTTAAAAGAGATCGAAAATCTCTTTGAGTATCGATATCCTTCCAAGGACAACGATGCTGTTCAAATGGTCTGGCAAGCTATCGCTCGTAAGGTTCCTACTGTCAATTTTAAGGTGCATAAATCATCGAGATATTCTCGATCACCTGTTTCGAAGGAAGGAGGGCTAAAATCATTTCCCTTGCCAAAGAATATTTTGTAAGCAACTTGAACATTCAGTAGTTTTTTGAATATTTTGTCAACATCAGAAATTTTTCACAGTTTTGGAACATAACCAATGTTTTGCAAACAATAGTTTATATATACTATATAGTATAACATAGAAAAGAAAGTTGTAATTTTTAAGTTTATGATTGTTGAATCAGTTAAAGAGATCATTGATAAATTTGTTCATTCATTCATTTTTCATCTGTTGAACTTTTTTTCTATATGAACTTTGACATCAGGATTCTCCCTAAGGATGTTCAAAATTCTATATATATGTATTTACGCAATATAATTATCTATATACACGTAGTAAATTTTCGAAGAAGGATGTTTAATTGACCACCTTTCATACCCTTCATTGTATGTAGCTACATCGTTGCATTAATGATCACCAAAGTAATATATTGTCGAACCGAATAGTTTTGAACTCATAATTTTAATATTATAATGAATTTAATGTCAAGAACCTTAATCGAATCCATTAAATATAAATTCTAAAATGAAAATCTAATTAAGTAAAGATTTATATATATATGCCCAAATGGTGGTATTTCGATCCATAAGGGACGTCAGTATTTGATTCCCTTTGTCTATGTCTTCTCAATCGAGTTAATTATATCGAGCATGTTTAGTACGATTTTTTTTTGTGTGTGATCTGTAAATTATTGCACAAGAGTGAGGTATTTAGTGCGTAATTATCAAATATTTCCTCCATTTATTTTTACTTGTCACTTATTCCTAAAATAGATTTTTTCTCTTTTGACATATCAAGAAAAGACAATTATTTTTTCTTTCATGTTTTGCCCTCAACATTAAATACTTATTTTCCAAATCATTTTTCAAGTCGTAATACTCCCTCCATTCCATATTAAGTTAATTTTTGAGGCATTTTTCATTTTTCAAATTAACTTAATTGTTCAGTTTTCAAGACTACTTTTAGAGTGTTCTTCCAATTTTACCCTTCATTAGTTAGTATTGGAATTAGTGATTAATTAATATTTAGTTATTTTAATCATAAATTTGATAATAATTAATAAGGGTAAAAATGGAAAACTAGGTTCAATTAATGTCTTAATCTACTTTTCTTAAAGAGTGTGAAACACCTCAAAAATTAACTTAATATGGAATGAAGGGAGTACTAACATCATTTAATAAGGCTAGTTTGGTAAAATACATATATCAATAATAATTTTCTTAATGGATATGTCAAGTCAAATAGTAACAAGTAAAAATAAACGAATGGAACAATGATTGCGGATTTCTCAAGGTTCCAAAAAAAATACTTCCTCCGTTCCAAAATATTTGTCACATTTTTTGTTTTCACTCTCTTTAATATCGACATTGATTATTCTCTCGATGCAATGCAAAACAATTTCCGAGAACATTGATATTTGAGTCTCATCAAATGACTTTCACATTGAATTTTGTGGATTTTACAGTCCATTTTCTATGAATTTTTAATTTTAGGGTGTGTTTGATATGGCGAAAAATACTATCTTAAAAATATTTATGTAATTTAATAAAATATTATGAGATAGGATAGGGTAAGAGGTGGGGGTTTAAGGGTGGCAAGGGATGGATTGCAAAGACGAATTTGAGATTTAAATTTTATAGATTTAATATTTAAGGTTCTTGAAATGTTATAAAACTTATTTTTTCTGGTTCTATTAGCAAAATCATTTACTTTCATTTTTTAAAGAAAATAAATAATACTTTTTATATATCAGCCAAGTTAACTTAGAAATATATATAATATTATTCATAATAAGTAACAATGTTTATGATCGAAAGACATGTATCTTGTATTTATCGATTTAATATTTTGAACAGTTGTAAGTCTCTCCACTTTCCTTGTCATTTGTTGGTACTTGGTTGTTCAACCGTTGAAAATGAAATAATGCATGATGTTGCTCCTTTTTTAATTAAAAGTTTTGAATTTGAGTCTAGAATATAATTTTTTTTGGTAAGAAACATTACCAGCTGAATGAGGTTCTATCTGACACGAATTTAAATTAATTGAAATCTAATATAGATATTGAACATCAGTTAGGAAACGAATGAAAGGTGTTTATGGAACCATTATTTTTTGTTGGATAAAAGTATATATCAAGAATATGCAATATAGTATTTGATAAATGATAGTAGTACCTAATAATAATTCAATTTTCCTTACCTTAATACTAATTGGCTGTTGAAAGGCCAAAAAGGTTGATTGGACACTTCTATTATGTGGAGCACTTTTGTGACATGTGAAATTTTTTGTTTGTATTCATTATTTGCATCAAATGAAATGAATGCAAGATGTATATTTTTAGGGAATATATATGTATATATATCTCCTTGGATTTGTGGTATAACATCCTACTAGCCAAAGGAATACCTAAGATTAGTTTCAAAGGAGACTTTATATCCGAAACGCAAGAATGATCTGACTAAAATTCAATTCAATAGTAGAATTAGCATCAAAATAGTAAATTGTGATTGCAAGACATAAGTCTCAGCTTACAATCGATTAGCGACCGACTTCAAGGAAGTGAGGGAATCAAGCCGGTGATTTATGATTCAACTCCATTTTTTATAATAAATAAAAAATGACAAATTGCTTTTCAAACAAATCAGAAACACATGCAAAAAGAAGAAAAGAAAAAGACTGAAAATAGAAAGTGCCAAAAGGAAAGTGGGCCACAAAGCTAAATGGGCCTAAAAATCACATCAGGCCTGACTCATAAAGTGAAAGTGAAAGGTCACACACAGCCCATGATACCAAAATATTTTTTAAAAATAATTTAATTCCTATTTTTGTTTGATAAAAAATAAGGAAATAAAATATCATAAGATGAAATAAAAGGCCAAACATAATATGAAGTTTTGAGTTCAAACTTAATTATATCATAATTTTACAAGTCTAAGTTCTTTCTCACCGATTTGATAAATTGAAGATATGAATCACGTAATAAGCGAGAACATTATTAAATTAAAACTGATATTCACGATTCCACATCAAAAAACACAAAATGACAAAAAGTGGAAGGGGATCGGTAAAAGGGTTTAGGGCCCTCAAGTCCCCCTTGTTTTTGTGTCTTAGGTATGAGAATATATATAGTTATACCTATTAAAAATTTAGTTTAATTTAGGTCCCTCCATATGGTTCTTTATACATTGTTTTATGTTACTTCCAACTCCTTAAAAAAATATTATTAGGAGTGTGTCGAATCTTCTAAAAATAGTACATTTTAAAAAAAATTGATCAGAATAACACACATATGACAACATTTTTGAAAATTCCAAGCAGAATGAGTATTATAGAATTGAAGGAAATGAATAGAAAATAAGTTAAAGGAAATCAAAAAGCTTTTTGTACGTATTTTTTACGTAGGTTGTCTATGCTAATTAGTTTGTTTATTACTAAGATAAAATTAGAAGAATATACACAATCGTATTTTAATTTTCTAAAATGATAATTAACTATCTATTTTTAATAAGAATGACAATATGCCCAGCTTAATGTCTGAAGCTAGAATCTTTCTTTTTTCCTTTTTTATTTTATTTTTATTATAATGACTTGGCAAACTCTTTGATCTTGAAATGCCAAAAAAGTGTAACAACAGAAGACACTTTTTATCCTTTGGGACCAATTTGCTTAGTTTTATTTCTTATGCTACAAATAAATTTGACTTATTTCTACAGAGTGTAGCTGGCTAGAATTTAGTTCATTTCTTGAAAAAGAAAAATAAAAAAAATTCTAAACACAAAAAACATTTAATAGAAAATGCTATGAGTTACCCTCTTCATTTCAATTTATTTGTGTTACTTTCTTTTTAGTCCGTTTAATTTTTTTTCCGATAACTCTTTAATTCTAACTTTTCACTTATCATATTTAAATCACAAGATTAAAGCACGTTCTGGACTTATGGTACATTCTACGTATCTTTAATTTAAGATCATAAAATCTAAAATATTTTGAACTGTCAAGTCAATACCAGACAAACAACTTAAAACAAAGTGAATATATAATTTGTGTTTAATAAATTAGTCGAAGTGTGCGGACACCGACGGAATATAAGTTTGTCCAAACAAAAGAAAGTGACAAATGAAGTATGGTCTCTCTTCACTGTCCTTTGTTCTAGTGTTTATTAACTGTCACATCTTTGCAGGTATGTATTCAAGATTCAGATTTTTTTTTCATAAAAGACTACAAATATTTCTACTAATACTATACTCTTGAGGAAAATGTAAAAAAAAAAAAAAAAATTTTTTTTTGTCTTTTTGGCAATTTGTTAGAAGAAGGATATTTGGTGATGTTTGTTTTTGAAGTTATCTTTTAATAAAAGAAGAAGAGCATTTGGTGTTTTAATTACTTCAATTTGGAGTTCTTCAATTTCTTTTGTTAAACAGGTAATTCTCAAGATTCTTGATTACTTTTGTTACTATTGGTTAAAACTTTCGTTTGGTCATAGATTTTGAAGTTGTGTTAAAATTTAGTTATTTGGAAAATTTGGTCAAATTTCATTGCCAAACAGATATTTGAAGACAAATTTTTCGAAATCTGATCCAAAATTTTTGGCTAAACGCTAGCTAAATGTCTGCATTAATACTTCATGAAGCTTTTTTTTTTCCTTCTAATTGTGCTGCTTACTTCATTATGTGAAAAGATAAGAGGATGTTGATATATTGCAATTATGTGTCCTGTATTTTTCAAGATTTCATCTTTTCTTGGATTGGATTTGGTGGTGGTGGGGTGGTGATGGAGTTGGGAGTGGGGAGTTGGGGTTGGGGGGTTTGGGGGGGGGGGGGTCTTCTTGCTTTTATACTCCTTTCATTTCAATTTGTCTTGCTTTCCTTTTTAGTCTGTATAGAAAAATGTTTCTTTACTTTTTTGGCAACTCTTCAGTTTCAACTTTACACACGACAAGTTTAAACCATGAGATTAAACGCATTTTGGTACATTCTGCATATCCTTAGCTTAGTTAAATACCAAAAGATTCAAAAGTCGTTCTTTACTTTCTTGAATTCCGTGTAAAGTCAAAACCAAACAAGCAAATTGAAACGGAGGAAAGTACATTTTCTTGAATTGTTATTATTCTAATAACTATGGATACAGAGTTTGATGTTTGCTTACTGAAATTTCATTTCAGCTGAAGTAGTGAAGAAGTGGCAACTAGAGTGTTTACAAGAAAGCTCAAAAAAGTGTAAATTTCTCAGTTCTTTTTAGTCCTTTTTTGGTGATGGAAAAACATTTAAGACTTAAAACTCTTCTAGTTTTGCTTGTTTTATTGCTCTCAATTAGCATCTCAGAGCAACTACAATCTTCTTCACAAGCAAATATTTTATCGAGGATTCGAAATCTTCTGAACTATCCAAATGTTTTGAGTAATTGGAACAATGACACTGATTTCTGTAACACTGAGCCAAGTTCATCTGTTACTGTTATCTGTTATGAGGATAACATAACTCAGCTTCATATAATAGGGAGCAAAGGGGCTTCTCAATTACATAATTTCTCGATCGATTCGTTTGTCACTACACTTGTTGAGCTTCCAAGTTTGAAAGTTCTAAGATTAGTTTCTCTTGGTTTATATGGACCATTGCCTAGTAAACTTTCAAGACTTTCATCATTGGAGATACTTGACCTTAGTTCAAATTTCTTTCATAGTAACATACCTCGAGAAATTTCATCGTTAACGAGCCTCCAGAGTTTAATACTAGATGGAAATAAGTTCACTGGAAGACTTCCAAATGGACTTGGTTCACTTGTTGTTTTGGCAGTTTTGAGTGTAAAGAACAATTCTTTAGATGGACATTTACCTGATATGCTCGGAAATTTGCATAATCTTCGTGTACTTTCACTTTCGAGGAATAATTTTACTGGTGATGTACCTGATCTTAGTGGTGTCGAAAACCTTCAAGTTCTAGACTTGGAAGATAATTCTCTTGGACCGAAATTTCCTCAAGTTAGCAGCAAAATCCAAAGCATTGTGTTGAGGAACAATAAGTTCACTGCAGGAATTCCGGAGAAAGTTCAATCTTGCCATCAGCTTGAACATATGGATATTTCTTCAAACAGATTTATGGGGCCATTTTCTCCGTCTTTGCTATCCTTGCCATCGATCACTTATCTTAACGTTGCAGGAAACAAGTTAACGGGAATGCTTTTTGATGATAATCAATGCAATGCCGGATTAGATTTTGTGGATCTATCGACTAACCTGTTGAGTGGAAGATTGCCTAGTTGCCTTCTGACAGGTCCTAAGCACAGGATCGTGCGTTACTCTAACAATTGTTTAGCAACTAGAGACGGAACTCAACATCCATTTTCCTTCTGTCGGAATGAGGCGTTGGCTGTTGGTATCTTACCTCATCATCATAAACATATACCAGGTTCAAAAGTGGTTCTTGCTTTGATCATTTGTGGTAGCATCATTGGTGGAGTCGTGCTAGTTTGCGCGACTATTATAGTAGTAAGAAAATTTCTTGCAAAGATAGCTACACCGAGAAAAACAACAAGATCAATAGTAGAAAATGCAGCATCTACATATACATCAAAGTTATTCACTGATGCAAGTAAGATTCCTCTCTTCTTTACGTCTTAGCTTTGAAGTTTCAAGCATAGTACAATAATTTTGGCTTACCTGTGCACGAAATACACAATAGGAAGGCGAAAAAAGCCCAAATATACGAAGTTTCCTTTGATTCCTAATTACTACTAATTTTCCATCTTGTGTGTTTCTTCTCCGTTTACAAGACTATGTTACTCGAACAATGAAGCTGGGATCACTTAGTCTTCCATCTTATCGGACCTTTTCATCCGAAGAGCTTAAGGTGGCAACAAACAACTTTGATGCAGCAACTTTTATAGGCAACAGTTCTGATGATCAGGTGCATTTCAAGAATCACCATGTACCTTACTTTTCTTTCTTAACGTCATAATTGAGATCCTTAAACGTTCGTTTAAGAACATTTCATGGTATTATCATCCTTCATTGTTTTGACACCACAAATGAGTCAGAACCTTGCAGCCTATCAAACATATTCAGTTGCCTTAGAATTCTTAATCTATACCTATCCCATTGAAGGTGTTTTAGAAGATCTTCTATCATGTTACTAGTCGTTCATTTTCTTAGACGAGTGGATATCAAACAGGTATGGTATGATAATACTTCTTCGTCAAGATCCATCTAGAGTTCATTAGTCCATAGAAAACAAATGTTGATACATACACTTATGTGATACTCACGTCTGAGCGAATGTAACAACTAAAAGAGTAAACTGCATATATTATATGACAGAATTAGTGAGTATGGATGTTAACTTACTGTTTTTTTTTTGGATTCAGCTGTACAGAGGTCAGCTGAAAGATGGTTCATACATAACCATAAGATGCCTGCAAACGAAACGAAAAAATAGCAGTCAAAATTTTATGTATCATATAGAATTGATGTCAAAACTCAGACATCATCATCTGATCAGCACTCTTGGACACTGCTTCGAGTGTTACTTGGATGATTCGAGTGTTAGCAGGATATTTCTCGTCTTTGAGTATGTATCAAATGGTACCCTAAGAAGCTGGATCTCCGGTAATTATTCAACAAGCATTTATACTTATCGATCCCAAGATTGCAGTACAACAGTAATGTGTTATCCGATTCTGCAGATAAACATGCTAAAGGAAGACTAACGTGGACACAACGTATAGCAGCTGCAATCGGAGTAGCAAGGGGAATGCAGTTTTTGCATACTGGAAATGTACCTGGTGTTTTTTCAAATAACATAAAGATAACAGATATCTTGTTGGATCAGAACTTTGTAGCCAAAATTTGCAGCTATAATTTGCCTATTCTGAATGAGAATGTAATGGAGCAGAAGAGTACAAGGTATGCCTAACTGTTCCAAATTCTAAGTTGCTCGGACTCTCCAAAAATGTTGCCACACACATGTCGGATCCTTCAAAAATGCACTTCTTTGAAGGATCCAACATTGTTAATATATTAGTTAATCATGTGTACTATGAAGATCAAATATTATGCTAATCTCTCTATGGTAGTAGACATAATTAACTAATATATTAGGTACAAAAAAAGTTGTATTAGTTTCTTACTTCTACTAATCCACAGGGTTAATTATGAAGAAAAATTGGTTGTATATGATTTTGGAGTAATATTATTGGAGATAATTAGTGGGAAGCAGATAAATACCAAGAATGAAGTGAGAGTTACACAAAATCAGGTATGATTTAACACTTTTTTTCCACTCTTCACAACAACTATGTCTAAGTCGAATGTAAGTTAAGATCAGCTATATGAATTCTCACCGACTCTTTTACTCTTCATATTATGTGCAGTTACAAGAGAGCATAATGTCTAATGCAATGTCAAGAAAGAATGTGGTTGATCCAGCAATTAGAAATTCGTGCTCGGATGAATCATTGAAGACGATGATAGAGATATGTTGCAGGTGTTTGGAACAAGATACAGAAGATATGCCCTCAGTTGAAGATGTAATATGGAATTTGCAGTTTGCTGCTCAAGTTGAGGATTCATGGAGAAAAGACTCTTCAAGTAGTGATGCCTCTCCAATTTCACATCTCTACAGCTTCAAACCCAACTTGTCGCGCAATAGCAATAGCACGTATGTGTGACAAGCTATTTCTAACGTGGATAACTAATCTCGATACTATTATTCCATCCTGTGACAAGAATAACTAAACTAACAATTTATGTAATAATTTTCTTTGCATAGCTTATACAAAAAAGTAAGTTTTCATACAATCTTTTTCCTAACAAGCAGATGCCATAGCAATTTCCTTGTGTATATACCAACCCAACCTTAATAGTACCTAGATATTACAAGAGCAACATATAGTGCAGAAACCTATATTAGACGTGGACGATAAAAAACAAAAACAAAAGAATGCAAAGAGGGACTAGTTAATGGAAAAGGGAAGCATTGCAAAATGATTTTTCGGACAGTAGAAACAGACTATCTATTCGTTTGCAGGAGGAGTTTCCATTTTCTGAACTTGAGGGGCTGTCACTGCCACTAAGCTAAGATCAGATGAGTTAGAATCTCCAGATCTTTCACGGATCTCTCGGTACTCCTGGCATATGGCACATAAGTGGCAGAAAAAGTGTGTGGCGAAGTCTCCACATGGAGCTTCCTGCATATATATCAGGGCACACAAAATTGTTAAATGCAGAAATACTGATGTAAGCAGTTTGCATCTTTCTATTCAGGCATGGAACCATAGTATTTCGTAGAACAGAAAAGGGGGCAGGAGCTAATGGGAAGAGAGGAAGATGAAGAATTAAGAATTCACGGTAACTGGTTATAAATGCTGCAAACTCATCCAATAACAAACTCAAAACTAAAATTTCTAACTCGGACATCATCTCAATGTAAACCAAACAGAAAAGGAAACTAAAGTCAGTTCTCTTTCTAAATGGAGTCCTAATTTTCCCGATTTCAAGTTGATAGTTTATCAAACTGAAGCCCACCCCTACTTGTTCAAATAAAGTATAATCTTCTCTCACGTGGAGTCAATTCCACATTGTAACTTTTTAACCTTTTGTAGCTTCTACGGATAACATCCGATTCAAAAGAATGTATGTGGAATTCTAAGGCATTTCTGATTAATTTTTAATTCTAATGAAAAGGTTAACTCCAAACTACCATCATAAAAGTCTTAATATAGCCATCAACATTAATATATATCACACCATAATGGGGAGTTTATGCATAGATGTAAGGAACATCCTCAAAAGGTGTGCACATCAGACTATCCTCCCATGGATAGCCCTGCCCCGTGTTATAGGGGATACAACTATTAATATGAAAGGTTAGTTGAAGGTAAATTTTCAAGCAATCTAACTTCACTCACAATATGCTAAACCACATTCTCATCCATGTGCACTATAAACAGCAAAACAACAGAGATGGCTACCTGAAGATTGTACTTTGATCTCAATGTCTTTCGATAGCCACAGGCATAACATGCAACAAAGCACCCAGGCAAACCCAGAAGAATGCCTTCAGTTAAGAAGCAGCAAATTGTGTTGAAAAAAGCCCACAAAATAAAGTGAGTTGTACATGATCCCATCAAGGTTCCTGACCCCAAGAAGTCCGCATTTTTTCCAAACAGAAAGCAAGGGCAAAGAAGTCCAATAAAACCTGTACTCAAAATTTTGCAATTAGTGCTAACTCGAGGTTGTCAACCAACATCTAGTGACATTCCTCTGGGATGACAGAAGAGCCATTGCTTAGAAACAGGTGTTGAAATTTTAAACATAAACACACAAAATTAACCCTCAAAAGAGAAGTTCCACAATCACACTTTCATCTTATTATATGTTCAGAAAGGAACGATTGATCTAGTCCCATCGGCACTGCTGAAAACCAATTTCGGGAAATTCTGGCAGTTGTATTATTTGTTACTTCACGAATATGACAAACAGTGAGACCACAAGGGGGAGCGAATAGCAAATAATCTGGAAACAGAATGGAAGCAGTGTTGACTATTGAGAAAAGAAATGCATGAATGTTATCCAGTACTATATGGAATTACACTACACTGGGTATGTTGTTGTTCATAAGAATATATGCATAAATCCTGTGGGATTACACTACACTGAGTATTATTTTGTTGTTCATAAGAATATATACATATATCCTTTTGGGTATACTTTTGTCCCAGCAAAAGAGCACCAAGAAGGTTCTGTATATGTACAGTATACAAAAACTCAGATACCCCTTTATGAATGCAGAACACTGAGGAACTCTAGCAAGGCACGCAAATCATACACTCTTAAGCATGTTACACCAAAAATAAAAAAAAGTACAGGGACTTCTAAGTTCCTAAGTCTGGATAGGACTAGTTTTGCAAATTTGGTAAGAATGTGTATTTCCAAAGCCATACAAACTTCAAGCTAAATCTTTATCTAAGAAGCATATAAGCAGAGAAAATACTTCATTCCATTATAGAGCCTGAGGAAAACTCAATTAAATGTATAGCATATAATAGCCTCCTTAGTGGTTCACCCAAAGTTTTATCATGTTTTCCATCTAATAAGATAAGAGGATAATTAATCATGAATCTTATTTTACTACCCAAAAATGCACCTTTCATTCACTTTTTTCCGTTCTCATTAAGCAAGATCACAGGGACGAAAGTAGCGTACAGCTCTGTGGATCATCAAAACAAGCACAGATTCCAGAACTCCACTGAGCATGGTCATCTTTTTTGCTCTGTTGAATTTCTTCCGCAGTAGAAACTTGTTGTACTTCTGCATCCGACTGATCCAGAGGAATATAAGGTGGAGGTGAATAATTCTTGTGCCCTACCATTATTAGTCAGGTGTAAACACCAACCTGCAGCACAAATTCAAGAGAAAGCAAAAAATATATCAATTAAAAACAAGAGAGTTCCACATAAACATCCAATCAGTTCTCTGATTTCATCAAGGACTGTTACTTTCTGATGAAGCTATAAATCATCTGACATCGATTCAAAAGAAAAGAAACACACACACAGATATTGACACGAAAGATAAAAAAGAAAGAAGCTTAACATTATGAAATCGACTCTAAGTTGTCAAACTGAAAAGTGTTTACCAACAAAAATTTAGCACTGTGTAGATTGAGCACATTGCAGATTGGCTCCACTAGGACTGACGATTATTTTATCATGTAATGCTTACGATTAAGTATTTCCAACTTCCAATTATAGATGTTCCTTAGAAAGAATTGCACCCAATTTGTGCACTTCCTTTATTTTTTTGACCTTGTAATCACAAAAGGAAGCTTTCCTAGTACTTGCCTGTTTTACAATGTGAAAATTTCGGGCCAGCTTGCTCACACCTCAACTAATTTCACGGGACACCTACTACCTCCCATCAACACAAGTACAAGATAACTCTATCCACTAATGTTTGGACATATGGGAAGAAATCACCTAATATTATTGCTCTTGGAGCCTCATGGTTCTCAAACCAATTCATTGACCATTAGCCCACAGCCTCACAACGTTGGTGCAACTATTCAGAATTTTTTATCAATAACTATTAGCCATAGCCATTTCTGATTTAAAAAACTAGACTAGATACACCTGATACCTGTTGCTACTTGTTGATGGAGGGAGGTAACACATATCCCGTGGAATTAGTGCATGTAAGCTGACTCAAACACAACACGATTATCAAAAGAAATTGTAATGTGGTGTACGGTAATTAGAAGGATTTGACAAATGATTAGCAATTCATGACAGTATGTTTCGATTCATCTATCGGCCTTAAATTTTTTTCATTTTCTTCAAACAATTGATAAGCAATACTTCAATGCAATTATTACTCAGATCTCACCTATAGAGCCATGACAAATAACGACTTAGTATCGAAATTCAAGCTTCATTCATGCAGTGAAAACGGATTTAGAGCATTGAATCCAAATATCAATTCTTTTTTTCGTCTATTTTACCGCTAAGAATCATTTGGGATGAGGTTTCGTTTTTTTTTTTTTTGCTCGTAAGAGAAAATAAAAAGGCAAAATCTGGAGAAGAAAGAGACAGACCGGAACTTACAGCTCGATGTCGCCGGAGAGAAGGATATTGCTGAGGATTTCGCCGGAGAAAGAGATCGCCGGGCAATGAACTTCGCCGAAAAACAAAATAAGGAGTAGTTTCCAAAGGACAAAAAGTGGCCTTTTGTTTCTTAAATTAAAAAAAAATAAAATCTACTTTTTCAGTTTCTAAAAAAAAGTGAAAACTTTGTAAAAGGCTCTTTTCTTTTGTTCCAAAATATCAATATTGGAGTTCGATTATAAATAATATTTAAATTTGATTAATTTTAATTCGCATCGTACGGAACTCATTAAGGAATATTGCTATCTACCAAAGATATTTAAAAGGTAAGAAAGTTGGTTGAGAAAAAGTGTTTTCATTTAGATTTTGTTTTTTTTTTTCTTAATACATCGATAATCTCTTAAATTTTTAGTAACTTTTATTTAGATTCTTGAATTATGATTTGTTTCAGTTGAGAACATGAAAACATAGTATAATATTTCTATTACACACTTTCAATTTTATATTTTAGAATCTATGGTTTTGCATGCTTTCAAATGTCGATTATATAAGTAAGTTAACCACTTAAAAACATAGTATAGTATTTCTATTATACACCTCCTCTATTTGATAAGTTTTTATATGTTTTGTTTTTTAGTCTTTTTTCGATAAGCTCTTCTTTTTACAATCAAGTAGCATTCACTTTTTAACCAAGAGTCTGAACTCAAATATATTTGATTTTTTTTTAAAAAAAATGAAACATAAATTTATAGTCAAACACAAACTCCAGCAATAATGAAATTTGAGAAAGCATACCCTCAAATTCTATATATGAATATTTCACTTGTTAATATTTTTATTATTATTACAAACAATCACACTAAGAAAAGAGTTATAACATGATACAAATTAGAGGAAATTGAAACAACAAAAAGACAAAAAAAAAACTCCATAACAGATTTTTTTATTACATGCATGAAAAAATAAGAAATAATATTATAATTTTTTTGAAATCCAGATAAACCTGCAATCAACAAGCTCTACTCAAAAGACTTTGAGGAAATCGATCTCAAAAATAACCATCCTCTAAATAAACTGAGCCA